GGAACTCCAGCGCCAGCCCCAAGACGGCCTCCAGCAGCTCAGGCAGGGAGGCTGCCACGCGGCAGGGAGGCTGCCACACAGCAGGGAGGCTGGTACAGTAGCAGCACTCCCAACCGTTCGCGGGCCCCCAAACTAAGAAAAAGAGTCTCACAGCCAGAAACGTGTGGAGCAATGCCCCTGAAGGCCACTAGAGACTCTCGGATGACAATAGCCACCCCTCCTCCCCTGCCCTGGTATCTTGGCTGGTGCCACACCGTAAACCCAGCTGGGCACATTTCCGAGAAGGGCACCCCCCCTCAGGCCCCAGCCAGGTCTCGGTGATACATGCCAGGTCTCCCCCTCCTCAGTGATCAAGTCACCTATGATGGGGGCTTTGTTTTTAACTGACCTGGCATAAAGCAGCAGCAGCCGGAGGCCAGGGCCCCTATGAACCTGCTGGCCAGGACCTGGGAGTGAGCAAGGAGGGCCGGAACACGCCATCGGCAACACACACCAGGGGCGTCTTCCCCGAAGATGGCCCGCCCCCCTGCTCCCGCCATAACGTCCCCTGCCCATCACCACCTCAATAACGTGCCCCCCCATCATCCCCGGGGGTGCCAGGCCCAAATTTATTCGCAAAGTTGTGGCCATTGCAGTGTCCCTGTAGTCACATGATTGTGATTTCTGACGCCCCCCGCCAGCTTCCCACAAGCAAAGTCAATGGGGTACCCGGCAGGAGTTGGAAGTCGCTCCCACTCCCACTGCTTTTTTGCCCACCTGTGGTCATTCTGTTTATCTGTTTAGGTAAATAAATATTGACTTATTATTGAAGTTCATTTGCCTCTACAATTATTTTTCTATTTATGATATATACTCTTCTTAGAACATCATGGGACTGTCCAGCATTGGGGTAAAAAAAATATGGTCAGCCTCAAATTTAATGTTTATTCTGGTCACATCAGACTGCATTACCTTTCTCTCAAAGGATGACCCAACAACTCACAGGGTTGTCTAGTGTTTAATAATTTTCTGACCAAGCTCAATGTTTCTTTTTGAAATAAATCTGGACTGATCTAGATTTATAATTTATAATTAAGACAGTTAGCTAATGGTTTATAATTTATAGTCTCCATTAAGTAATGAAATAGATATATAAGAAGCAACCTCTTGTGAGTTTTGTCTGGCTTGAGAATTAGTGTAATCTTAGAACTTTACTTGGATATAACTGCAGCAAGAAGTTGTTCTCCTTGCTACAAGCGATTATGCATTGATCAAAAGTCTAGAATTAAAATATCTTTATATCTTTTACAGAATTCTCCAGAAAATCCATCTTTCATTTTTTAAACTTTCAAAAACTTTATTTCTGAATGGCTAAAACTAGTATCTAAAAATTGGGTATAATTTGTTGATAGTTTTGGCTATTTCAGTTTAGCTAAATGATTATAAGCCTCAGTAATATGGGATGTTCAATGTACACAATTTTTATTAATGTATTTTCTTCAATGTATATATTTTTATAACTTCAGCATTAATATTGCCTCTATCAGTAATAATTTGGCCTTTAAAATTATGTGTTGATGTAATATCTTTCTCTTGCTTTTTTAGTCTCTGCTAACAAATTCATACTTTTTTGCTTTAAAGATATTTTATTAGTTTCTAAATGTCTGATTCTTTTCCATTTTAATTTTATGTACGTATGTAAGTATGTGTGTATACACACACACACACATACTAATCATGTCAACATCTTAGCAAATCTCCAAAGCTTTCTTAAAATGGCTGGGCCAAGACATTTGTTCCTAGATTCCATTACAGCTCCAAGCACTGGGACTGAAGGAGACACTGGCAATAGGATCTATTTGCTTTTTATTGATCAAGGGTGACAAAAAAAAAAAAAAAACAAGTCTTGCACTGAATTCTGTATTTCCAAAGCTTTTTTCTGTAAAAATATTTTCCATTATTTCAAATTACCTGGTAAAGCTATATCTCTATGCCCATCTCTAATTCATAATCATTCCCATTATGTTGAAAATCATTTGTTTATTCAATTAAACATCCTTAATCAATAAAAAGCACCATAAATTCAACTTCTAAGCAGTTAATCAATTGTAACAATTAAGAATTACCCTTAGGGAACTACATAAGGCAAATATTTATGCATATTGTTTCTCTAGCTATAAAAGAAGCAGGGTTGCCTGGAAGAAAGAGTATGAGCTACCAAACTGTTAATTATTTCTAATGCTGCAACTAAATTCAGAGCACTGAATGTCCCCTTTTGATAATACCTTGATTCGTCTGACGCTGACCAGTGCTTCAGATACTTTTTCAACAGCCGCCGGGAAGAACAGGGTGACCGTCAGCCTCACTGCACCATACAGAGAGACAGCGACAAACACCCGACTTGCTGAAATTAGATTGCCCAGCAACACATAGGTCATGAATGTCATAAACACTGTAATTTTGCTGGCAACAAAGAAGGATGCCAAGTTCAATCCTCGAAGGTAAGAACTCTTAAGAACCACTGAAATCTCCTTTCTGAAATTAAATTTTAATAATTTTGATAAATAAATACATAAATGAAGTATCTTACGCATTACAAGTATTTTTATGCCACTTCAATCAAGCACATCTAAAGGGCTTAGAAAAGCTAAATAACAATAATATCCACAATATATAAAAAACCCAATTCAACATCAGCAATAACATCAAAACAATAATAGCACCCACGTTCACCCCATCACTGACTCCACAATGCCCTTATTCAGCCAGGTCATTTCAAGCTTTATGAATGTTCAAAGTGACAACATAGCGCTAGAACTGACAAGATCAGGTTCAACTCAATCTCAGTATGGAAGCACTATGACTTCCCATTTGGATTAATCCAACACGTTCTACATGGGGCTGCCCTTGAAGACCACTCACATGTTACAACTGGTCCAGAATGCAGCAGCATGCACAGTGTTGGGCACCTCTAAGTTTATCCACATTACACCCCTGTTGTGCTAGCTGCACTGGCTTCCAGTTTCTTTCTGGGTACAATTCAAGGTGCTGGTTATCATCTTTAAAGCCCTACACAGCATAGCCCAGGTTACTCAGGACTGCCTCTTCCTGAGACTATCTGCCTGTCCCACTAGATTGGACAGGATGGGCACACTCCAGGTCCCTTCCCTGAGATATGCTATCTAGTTGGACCTAAGAAGCATGTCTTTTCCACAGCTGCCCCTCCTTATTGAATACACTCCCCTTAGCAATCCAGCAGGCCCCCACCCCCTTAGCCTTCAGGAAGGCCATTAAAACCCTTGCTCTTTATCCAGGCACTGGGATAGAGTGGTGGAGCCTGTGGGTGGTTGTTGGGGCACCCTGGGAGGTTGATTGAGGCACCAGGTTTTTAGTTTTTTTGGATATGATTTTTATGGTTTTATTGTTGTGAGCTGCCCACAGCTGTTTCAAGATGGGCGGCCAAACAAATCTTTTAAATAAATAAATAAATGACTTAGGGCAGGTCACCCTCTTTTAGCCCAACCTACCTCACAGAAAATTAGAGAAGGGAATGCTATATTTACCTGTGAGCTCCAAGAACAGGGAATCCCAAACCAGAGGGTGTGACTCCCTCAGGGGCATGAACGAATTCCAAACAGGATGCAAGGAAATATATTTTTAAAACAATCATCAGCATTAAAATCAGTAATTTTCAGATGAGACTGGGAAGATTGGTGGGGGTAGATAGGCTGATGGAAGGGAGAGAAGCCCTGCAAACATCTGCAGATACGTGGTGGAAAAATTCACAGGTGTGTGCAGGAAGATCAGGGCCAGATGGGCTGATGGGAAGATTAGAAGCAAATAGCTGGGAAGATGAAGGTCCAATGTATACTTTTACTGATGCAGAAAACTGCAGATGAATTTCATGCACATTTGGATGAGGAGACACGGGGGTTTCTAAAATATCAGAAAGGGGGCATGCCAAAAGCCTAGGGATCCCTGTCTTAGGGGAAAGGTGGGATTAAATGTTAATTTTTTTGGAATGTATTTTCAGGTTTTCAGGGAATTAGACATGGAAGGAACACAGTATTTTATTTTATATATTTTAGATTTTGAAAAATGGTGATAAATTTCAGTTCATTGCTATGACAAATCATAAACTTTACTTCTTACAGGAAGAGATATTATATTGTATGACCAAGGAATTAGACATGGAAGGAACACAGTATTTTATTTTATATATTTTAGATTTTGAAAAATGGTGATATATTTCAGTTCATTGCTATGACAAATCATAAACTTTACTTCTTACAGGAAGAGATATTATATTGTATGACCAAGGAGAAAACAGGTTTTCCTTACCCCCAAAACATTCTCAGATTCTTTTGCTGTGACTCAAAAAAAAATCCTCCATTTCTAAATACCACCGTCTAGTTTAATAACAAGTAAAGAATAACATAGGTATAGAATTTCAGTGGGATACAAAATCACCTTCTCATGTTGTTCACAAGATCAGCAAACGACTTTTCCCAAGCATACATCTTTATTATCCGCATTCCAGTTATGACCTCATTCATGGTCCTGATCCTTGCATCTGTGAAAGCTGCAGTCCTGCTCCTGAAATATTAATGGGAAGCTATAAACTTTGAAAAACTCTAATTCTAAGATATATTGGCCCACTAATGGTTATTATTCAGATGGTTTCTATTTACCTAACGTAAGAAATTCGGTGCTGCATTCAATAATAAAAAATATTCTCCCCCCAAAAATAAAAGTTAAGGAATACACAATCAGATATAATGATCTAGTGAACAAACTGAAAACATATATGTGAATGAACTTAAGATACTTATGAAAAAGCTTATCTAGGTTTAGTGGATTCTTTCACCTAGCATTAATGGCCATACTACTTTAAAGAAATGAAGATATAGGCAAGCAAGCATTGGGACTGGCATGGTCAGACATCTACAGGAATACAGTATACAGGTGAAACTCGAAAAATTAGAATATCGAGCAAATGTT